GATTTTCGTTATTATTAAATTTATGGTACATTAAGTAATGATGGAAATTATCTAATATTTTGGCTAAAATCAACGCATGAAATTTAAATATTAAAGCATATTAAGAATTTTGAGTGATATTTTACTTATTAAAAAAAAATAGTTTATGTTTATAATATTAAAATAATTTTAATAAATAAATTTTGAATTTTCCAATTATCATAGATTCTCAAATGAAATCACAGATAATTTTATTTCTTTAAATTAATAACCAAAATAAAACTATTAAGAATTTTTAATCCCAATTGGTTTTATGAGTAAATAATTATAATATTAGTCAATTAATTGCACTATAATTAAGAATACTTCAAGTTTTGATTTTACTTAATTTCTTTTTTATTTCATAGAATAAGAATTTTTATAAGATTACAAATATTAATCATTCATAATTTAAGTTGATGAATTATTAATTGGAATATTGTTATTGCATAAATATATTCTATATCAAATATCTTGATTTTGATTAAATAGATATAATAAAAGTAGAAATTAAATTAAATAATTTAAGATGAAATTTTTATTAAAGTATCTCAGCAAATTCAGATTATTTAGTAGAAGATTCCATTTTCATAGAATCTAATAAATTAAGATAGTAGATCAAACTATTTAATGAGCCCTAGAACGAATTATAAATTAGGAGATTATCATAAGAATATAAGTCAGATTATAAAATTGTATTGTAGAATACTTAGATTAATCCGAAAATCTAATATATTTTTCTTATCCTTTCTTGATAAATAAAGGAATCAGAAATAATGCTTTATTGAAATAAATTTAATAAAGTTCTTTATCTCTCAAAATTAATGGATACTATCTTTTTATTGAAACAAAAGGAAGCTACTATAAAAAAGTGGTAAAAAAATTGATAGAAAGGACCTGAAATTGCCATAAATAGAAAATAATTTTATATTGAAAAAAATGTATTTACAAATAAGAAGCATCACATAAAGTAAGAAAAATGTTAAATGATGATTGAAACTTTGATGAAAATTAGAGATTGTAATAAGAATATTTATAAGATAGAATATTCTCTTATTAATTTAAATAGGCTATAACCCATATAATTAATTATTTGACTCTTGTTTTAATAACATCATTAGAATTTAATTATCACACTTTAACATAATTTTACCAGCATTTTGCTCATAATTTCAATCTAGGTACATATAAATTATGGATATTGACACATAGAGCATTTTATTTTAATTAATCCTTATCTTTGCCAAAATTTCATACTATTGTATCATATCAATTAAAAGCTTTAATAAATTTATTAAATATAATAGAATTTAAAGACTTTAATCAATCATAAATCAGAATAATCCTGAAAAAAACATAAGTATTAAAATGATTAAAACTATTTTTGACAATTCCTCATACTCTTTAGATTGCTGAACAAGAATTGATAATTTATATTATTACTATTCAACTTTCAAGTTAAATTTTTCACAATTTTTCTTCCCTAATATCCATTTTCACCCATGTACCACACCTTTATAATTGAATTATTAGTTTATCTCAAACTCATTATCTAACTCAATCCACTACCCAGCCTTAATAGAGCCTCCTTATATATCGTTATACAAACCACCACTACTAAAGTCTTTTCAATTATTTATACATTAATTGATAAGTTTTACTTTCTTCTTCCTTAAAAAATAACTCATGTAAGTACTTTTTACAATGTTTATATTCACCATCTTAAAAGTCCTATGAATATAAATTAAACCCATCACTGTATTCTATCCATCTTCCAACCTTAATTGAACCTCCATTAACTTCATCATATGAAATATTTTGTTCTTACTTATTAATAATTCAATGGTTACACTTATTGTTCCAAAGCTTAATTATACCATCTAGTAATTTTTTTTCCATTTTTATATCAACTGTGATAAGTGACTCTGGAATATTAATTATATCCATTATTAAATTCAATCCACATTCAATATTAATTCATGATGGCTTTTAATTTTCTGAATGTTATTCGTTTTTATATTAAGGGTGATCTCTTACATTTTCAAAACCTTTCCAAGCAACGAATAATAAATAAAGTTATCTTAAGTATATGTGATATAAAATAATTATATATTATAAAAATTAATAAAAGAAAAATATAGACAGTTATTAATTTATTTATAAGTGTTCTTACAGAAAAAATAGATTTGAAAAAAACTTTTTGTAAATTTAGAACACTGAAATTATTATTATTTTACTATTATAAAAATTGCCATATGTTAAGGATGAATTTATCCTCTGTTAATTCAATTTCTATCACAAGAAAACTATATAGGCAAAATGATTAATATCCTTCTTCATAATATCATATCTTCTAAATAGAGTCATCAATATATTTATTATTTATATTATGAAATATCTTTTTACTTTAGAAATTCACATTATTACTTCTGATGCTAAAGTGAGTAATTATTCTAAAATTATAGATTATTTTAATTAATCTTGATCTTATCTAAACCAGGATTTATTTATTTTGAAATACTTTCAAAGTTTCTTCCAAAATTATTTAATAGCATTTTGCATATGATTTAGTTAACAAATTTTTTTAGTCTTTAAAATTTATATCTATTATGATTAAAGTTTTATCCTAATAAAGTCCAAAATTATTTGCGAAGAACTTAAATTCAAATCGTTTTTGGTCCTTTATTAAATCAATAAGAGGAGAAAAATTTAATTTGAAAGTCAAAGTAATTGAGTATATAGAGAAAAAAAATGAAAATGATGATGAAGAAAGTTGGAGAAAATGTAGATTACTAAATTTAACATATAGTAGGATTCTTGTGGTAAAAATTAGATCAGGAAATAAATCTATGCAAATGACTAAAAGCAAAATGATGAATGGTTTTTTTTTATGGTCCAAATTAAAAAAAAGCAGATCTGTACGAAGAAATTGAAGACAATAGGAAGATGCTAACTACAAAAGAAAACGAAGAAGAATTAAAGTTGCTAATGAAATCTAAAAATAAATTAAAGAAAGATTCTGAAAATATATGAGAAAAAAGAAATAGAATTATAGGATAGATAAATCAGTTAAAGTCTGATAATAAAGATTCTGAGATGTATATTATTATTAAAAAAAACAATTTAATTGTGATGGAAGAAATAAGGTAAAGTTATAAGATCAGCTCCTTTATACGAATCAATCTTTTTTTAACCCTTAAATTTTTAATGTTGTATGGACAATCTTATTTAAATGGAGTTGCTTTGTCTAAAAAATCAATTTCTCATCTATAGATCCTTTATCATATTTAATTGAAAGAAACTTTATAATCATAAAATTAGGTTGATGACTCATAAAGTCAAGGTGCAATAGATAAATACTATAGTTAAATCATATAATCATTAAGAAGTTTATAATTCTTAGAAATGAAAAACCTTTTAAAAAAATAATTGGATAATAAAGTTTAGTAAATTGATGAATTTATCCAAAAGTTGAAATAATGAATAAAGGTGGAAGAGCTGATTCAAAATTAGTATAAAGAGATAAGATACAACAGACAGTTGTAAAGATGAATTCACTTTTAAGTTAATTATCTGATCAATATTTATAAACTCTTTTGTTGTTGAGTTATTTTATTATTATTATTCCAATAATTTTTGATATTATTATTTTTACCTTATATTAAAATAATCTGAAAAGTTACACAATTAATATTTGATTGATTACTCAAATATTGAGAAGTTTTTTTAATCTAAGTCTACTTTTTTATAAAAAGATTTTTGTTCAAATTCCTTTTCTTATTATTTATAATAACCCAAAGTTTCAGATAAGAAATTATAGATGAAACTAATTTTAAATTATTTAAAGAATGAGAACATCATAAAATTAAATTAAATATTCTCTTCAATACATTAACCCATCTTTATCTTCAAATAAAAACAAATCACTTAATGATAATTATTCGATGTGCAAACATTACAATACATTATTCTTACTTCATTAAAAGCACTTATTTAATCTATAATCAAATGTAAATAACTTTCATATAGATATAAATCTATTACTTCCATAAAAGTTCAAAATAAATAAATATTTTATTAGAAAACTAATTTTTCATTAATAAAATGAAATTTATGATATCAATTTTTTTTTTATCTATTGATAACAATTAATTTCTTTCAATCAAGGCAATTTTCAAATAATTGAAAATTAATTCAATAACCTAGGAAGAAGTGTATAGTTAAATTGAATAATCATATTGATAAACCATGATTTTATGAAGCTTGAATTGATAAAAGTGAGTAAAAATTTTGAGTAATTAAATTTCAATATTCTAAAACGATGAAGTTGAAAAAAAGATTACTAACATATAATAAAGATTGAAATTAATTAATTAAAAACCTGCCCATTTAATTTTAATTAATAGTAGATCAAAAAATGTAAATTGAGTTTTGTTGGCCAAAAAAAATAAATCAAATAGTAAAAATTCTTAAAAAATACTTACAATTCAATTTAAAATTTAAAATGTAATTATCATACACCACTTCTAATTACTTGATTTATTTATCATGACCTAATATTGTTTATCAAATAATGATTACAAAAAAACAGTTTAATTTTTAATTTGGGGCTAAGAAATAGAAAATTTAATGATAAAGCTTTTTAAAAATAAATAGTCTACAAATAATTCTTATAGTTGACAATTTCATCACACACTTAAAATAAATGTACATGTACAATACTAATTAAGCAATTTCTATTGGCAAAATTAGAAAATCATTAAAACAAATTCTCTATTTAATGATTTCTTACTACAGCTGACATCAAAATTTATATAAAATAGAATGTTTTTAAGAGGTTCTAAATAATTAAATATTTTCACTTACAAATAACTTAGATAAAACTCACCTTATAGCAGTAATTGCTTTTCTCGAAATTAAAAATAATTGAAAATAGAATAAATCATGAATATATTTATTTAAAAAATCNAATAATAAGATATTATTTATTGATAATTATTTGATATGCAATATAAAACTATATTATTCTTGCTTTATTAAAATTACTTATTGAATTTATAATCAAAAACGTATGTAACTTTAGTACTCATTTAAAATCAATCAATTCCATCAAAATTCAGAAAAAGTAAATATTTTAATTTATTTTAGTATAATATTAATTGTCTTTTAATGATATGAAATTATAATATAATATTATTTTTTATAACAGTTTAATTTCTTTCAATAAAGGCATTATTCAAAGAGTTGGAAATTAATTTAATACCATATTAATAGAAGTCTCGTTAAAATGAATAATCATATAACTTAAATACTATAAGAAGCTTAATTGATAAAAAAGGGTAAAAATACTTTGAGAAAAATTTGAAAAATCTATGAATTCAGTCTACAACTCAATAATTATAAAGTTGACTGAAAAGCCAACTAATGTAATGAGCGTTGAATTTAATTAATTAAAAATTGCATATCTAATTTTTAATTAATGTTGGATTATAAAAAATAGATTATGTATCCTTGGCCTATAATAGAATATAATGAGAAAGCTCTACAAAATGGAACAGACCTTCAAGTAATTCTCAAAGTTGATGATTTTATCACACATCAAAAGAATAAATATACCTTTAGGCATCAGACTGAATCCTCCTTAAAATAAATCTATCAGTTACAAAATAATTATTAAACAATTTCTTTTAGCAAATTAGAATAAAAAAACAAATTTTTTATTCAATGATTTCTTACTACAGTAGACATAACAAGCATCAAGATTTATAAAAAAAGGGTTTATTCATAAGATTCTAAATAATAAATCATTTTCACCTATAGTGATTTGAAAAATACTCAAATTATAGCAGATATTAATAGCCTATTGAGAATTTACAACTATACAAATTAGAATAAATCATGAATATATTTTTATATAAATAATAATAGATATTTTTATGTTTTTCTTTTTGTTCTTATTAAGGATAGTATTGTTAAATGCAGAAAATAATTTTGAAATTATATACACAGCTTTTAGTGAAGATAATTTCGATAAAGAAGGTAAATAAATTAATTATACTTTAGGATGGCATCTTCAAAACAGCTATAGCACAACTTTATTCAGAAAATGTGGTAATGAGACTGTGTTTGGAGGTTTTTCAGCTTTCTCTAATACATTAATTACTTACAATTCAAGTCTTCCTCCTCACTATTAAATATATGCTTCATTTTTATTTTGGAAGTATATATATAAAATTTTTGTATTTTAGAATAGATAGTTGGAATAAAGAAGAAAAAGAATGCGTTTTAATATACTTTGATGATAAATTAAAAAAAGAATGTTTTTCAGTGGAATAAGATTATCAATTATGCGGTACTTTTAGTGAAGCTGATTTTGACAAAAAAGTTATTTTTGATATCTAAATGATTCATTCCTCTAAAAATATTTTCATAATAATAACATCAAATTTAAATTAGGGGGCAGAAAATGTATAATAATGAAATATTTAGGAATCATGGGGATAAAAAAATTTAAAATTGAAATATTGAAATGCCCAAAAGAATGTGTGTATTGTTAAGATGATATAATGCAATGCGACTTTTGGATTCATGTTAAATCATTTTGGTAAACTCCAAGTGAGTTTGATGGATGGAAAATAGATGATACAAAAACACTCTCTCCAAGTAAGTGTATGTACTGGTCTTATTATTGCTGAAAGATACCCTAACTTAAGAGTAAATTAAACAATTGAAAATACTATCTTTAATTTATCTTCCCATTTTAATGTTTAAGTAGAATTAAAACTTTGGTTGTTTGGCATTTGGAAGGATGATTAATTTATTCTTAAGCTTGATGATTATGAATTATTAAACTAACATATAAATCAATCAGCCCATTAGATAAACTGTGGGGGAATTCAATAAAATGTTACTTTAATAAATCTTAGAGCTTAAATGAATCATTCTTAATCATCAATGAAGATTACTTTTAAAACTCAATCAAACTCAACTTTAATTAAATATTGGGGAATTAATGCATTTGATTTTTATATCGGAAAATGTTCGATTAATTGTGAATAATGCTATGGACCTGGGTATAAAGAATGTACTGCTTGTATTTACAGATTTCAACTACTAAAAATAATAGGAAGATCATTGCTATAACTTTGAAATTGTCTCTACTGTTTTTTTATCAATTAAATCAATTTATAAATCTCGTTTATGTTAGGAGATTATCATCAAAATCTATAATAATTAACTTATAAATAATCTTTTTATGCTATGTATTTATTTTAGATATTTTATTCTAAAATTTTCTTGATTTATTTTGATTAAATTCTTTTATAATTTTTTATCAATAATGAAAAAAATCTCCTTAGTCTAATTTAGTTTGTTTTAATTTAATTTAATTTTTAACTTTTTATAATATATTTGTTCTTCTAAGCTATTCATTTTTTTTCTTTTAAATTTATTCAATTCAGTTTCTAAGTTTCCAATGTTTTTGATAGACTTATTAATTAATTAAACTAATCTATTGCTTTTATATTTTGTTTCTATAATACTTTTGTGTGGTTTTATAATTCAAAATTCATAAAATAATAATACATTAACCAAAAGTAATTTTCAAATTATTTAGATAATTTCTAGATTTTAGTTTTTACTTTTACATGCTTTTATTTATTTTAATCAAAAGGATTATTTGTAGAATCCTTTTAATGATTTGTCAATTAATGAAACCTTAGAGATGATTTATTTTAAACCTTGGGATTAACTTCTGTAAAAACATTTTATTTTTTATCAATTTTTAATAGTTGTTAAATATGTTAAGCAATTCCTTTTCTTTCGAACAGAGCTCTTTATTGGCTAATATTTTTATATTGAATAATCTTCCCCATTTTAATTTAGATTATCAAATATCCAAGACTTTTTAATAAAATTATTATTAAATAAATCATTCTTATAATTCTTCAACTAGTTCATATTAGATATCTTTATTTTAACTTAATTCAGAATATTTAATCAAAACATATTGATGATTAGTAGAAATAAAAGGTTGAATCCTGTGAAAAAAGTTTAAAAAACATGATGGTGTTTTTTAGAATATTATTAATTGTATTTTTAAATCTTCCCATAGATTTTCATAACAATCTACTCTAATAATATAAGAACCATTTTCCTCTATAAACTTAATTTCTTCTTCCTATTTGAAATGGTTACCCTCATTAATTGAAGTTTTCTCTTTAAGCAAAGTTAAATATTAAACCTTTTATCCTTGTGAAATATCAAAAATATTTCAGAAGTTGTTATTTATTATTTTTTTGCTAACACTTATATTTTTATATAATTACTGTTTTTTTTGTAAAGTGAAATTGGCTAACTATTTTATTTGAATATAAATTTTTTTTATAATCTTGATGAGTTTGTAAAACCTTCTGTTAATCTTATTTATTTTTATTATGTTAATTAATAGTTGTTCTCAAAATCATTCTCTATTCGTACATCTATTCAGATTGCTTAATAAAAAAATTAATAAATAAACAAGCATTTTATTTAATATTTTAAATAAAAAAAATTTATTTTCCAAATAAAGAATGTTAAATAATAAAATAAATAATAAATATTAATGCTTATTAATTTTTCATTTTATTTATAATTCATAGATGCTATATCTTTTTATATTGTGATCCCAATATACTAAATACTGTCCATTATTTGTGATTTGACCATAGATTTCATAGGTGTTACAATTTAATTGAGAAGCTATTTTGTATTTGCCATCATTAAGTTATTAAAGAATATATATAATAGTTTTTACCCTGACAACTATTAAATTCCTTTCTCTATTGTAAGAAAACGGAAATCGAAATTCGTCTGAAACCATATTATTTTTAGTTAGTTGGATTGTCTTTTCTTAGTTTTCTTAAAATATTCCTTATTTTAATTAAAAAGTATAAATGCTATCTTAAGATCTGGAACTGGTTGCCCAAATAAATTCATCATCTGTTATAAACATAATTTTATTCCCTGTTTCTTATATTGATTACGTAACAATGTATTTAAATTCAAATATATTATTTATATTTCTTTCCCAAATAATAATTGAATTATTATTTTTTGCACATGATACTAATACATTTTCTGATGGGTTTAAACTTAATCCATTCACAAAATTAGTATGTTTATCCAATGAATATTAATAAGTCAAAAAATTCTAATTAAAATCAACTTTCCAAACTTTAATCGACTTATCAAAACTACCAGAAAATAGTAAATCTTCATTCTTATTGATTATCA